AAAATGTAGTGGTTACTCTAGAAGGTAGAGTGTATATTTCTGTAATATTAAGGCAGAATATAAGTGGCAGTTACAGAGAAGGATAAGTGTACTTATACAGTACTTAATAGGTGTACTGAGAAAATCTTGACACACAAATTGTTTTTTATGATGTAGAACACTGGGGGCATTATTAACAATATGAAGATCTTTTTATTATATATTTATAATGCCTGACCCTTTGCAAGATAGTTGGAACTACTTTGAAGAAATGTGCCAGGTAATGTGTGATAATGTGTGAGTGGTAGGTCAGACTGGAGAGACAGACAGATTTTGAAGGATGACAGATACCATGTAGAGGCTATCTAACAGACTAGCAATTCTTCAACAGTTTCGTTTTAGGGGAACGATGGTGAACATCTTCAGCAGGATAAATTTCCAAAAATATAATTTCTGAGTCTAATAGAATGACTAGTCTGTATTTCTTCATACATTCAGTGAAACCTATGTTTGAGCTAATTTACACAGCCTCTCTGCATATGTGTTGTTTTCAGTACATACTTAACTGCTGTAATTAATGTACTTTTAAATTTGCTAATTTTGATGTATTAGGTTTGTATTTGGCTTACTACTGCTGAGATTTAACAGTTTTTCTGTGTTGATGTATCACTCGCATCTAGTCCTTAAGCCGCAATCTCAGCAATATCCTTTACAGCAGAATGATCCAGTTCAGAATCAGGCATTGTATCTGAGTCCTTCCCTTTTTTGGGGGAGGAAAGTCTTTGACAGTTTTGAAGATTATATATTATGCTGCGCACAGTGGGACATGACTGTAATACCAGCACTTTGGACAGATGAAGCAGGAAGATTGCAAGTTCAAACCCAACCTGGGCAATTTGATGACTTAGCAAGACCCTGCCTTAAAATTAAAAAATGAAAAAGCTGGAGATGTAGCTCAGTGTCAGGGCCTTCACTTCAATCCCCAGTACCAAAAAAAGAAAAAAAAAAATTACAGTTTCATATTCTGTAGTATACCCCCCAGTTTGGTTCGTTGGTTCCTCATGATTAGATTCAGGTTATGGATCTTTGGCAGGAACATCACTTCTTATAGTATAGGACTTTGATCTGTCTTATAATGGTGTTCACTTTGCTCACTTGATCAAGGTGATATCTGCCAGGTATTACTGCTGTAAAGTTACTTTTCCTTTTGAAACTACAGTAAGTCCCCAACTTAGGACCATTTGAGTTGCAAACTTTCACAGATACAAATGGATCTCTCATTGTGAACATTCAGAGATGCAAACAAATCACAGAAGCAGCTCACACATCTCTTGCACATTGTCACAGTTGCGCTGCTGTGGGCTTACTGTACAGTGTGGTAGTGTACAGTAGTTTAGTGCTCAGTCAGAGCCCAGGATGTCCAGAAGCAAGAGGAAAAGCCGTGGTGGTGTGGAGGAGACTGCTAGGAAGCACAAAGCAATAACACGCAAACAGAGATGAAAATACTCAGGAGATTGGGCTGAGGTGGAAATTTGGTAGACGTCACTTGTTCTTAAAACATGAAACATTCCACCATTGGCACAATTCTGAAGGACAAGAACATGATCATCAAACATGAAGTCTGCTGTGCCAGTGAAATCAACAACAATATCCAAATATCCAACAACAATATCCAAAAAACACGGTAAAGTGATACAGGAGATGGAGAAACTTCTCGGTGTGTGGTTGCAGGATCAGCATCGTTCTTGTCCCACTCAGCTTAATGCTTATTCACAATACAGCTAAAAGCCCATTTGAAGACTTGAAAAAAATGGGATGCCCAGGGTACATCTTTTACCGCCAGCCTTGGATGGTTTGACAGATTCAAGGCTAGAGCCAGCCTTCATAATGTAAAAGTGATCAGGTGTGGGCCAGATTCCCTTGCCCCATCTCCTGTTGCTGATGTCCTTGAGCTCCACCATCTCCCACCTACCCTCCCTTCTCCAGTTAGTAACTCTCTTCTTGTCGTTTTGCTCCATGCAGTCCCCTGTATGCCAGTTGTTGCACTGTGCCACCGTTTTATGGTCACTGTTAAAGTAAAAATAGTTCATTTACAGTATTCTTGTGTGTGTTTTTTTTAATGCTTTACATTGTATATTTGTGTCAATGGTGTGTAAGACTCACTTTGTCAGACTTACCGAACGAGTCAGACTTACGAACGCATCTGACTTAACGAATAGTCTCCTAGAATGGAAATTGTTCATAAGTTGGGGACTTACCATAACATATATTTTGTGGGGAAGCACTGTAAAACTATCTTACTCACTATCGCTTTCCATTTATTTATAGCTATTGCTCCATGATTTCCTATTTTATTCAGTAGCTTAAAATGTATTACTCTCATTATTTGTGTTGATGCTGAAATTAATTTCATTGTAGCCAGAGTCTCTTTCCAGCTGGTTCCTGTGTCCTTGTGACTTGTCTCCATCATTCTTTACTTTTTCTTTTTGGCATAAGATATTCCAGATCGTCTTATGTTTTTTCTGCCCTAGTGCTGTAATTGGCCAATTATAATTCTCCAAGGAGCTTTCATTCATTTTATTGAAGGATGGAAGTAGAAGCCAGGAGTTGAGTGCTAGGTGTGTTCATACTATTGGGAGGGGAAGTGACCACTGCTCTCGAGTCTTCTCAGTGTGGAATTACAGCGCTGAGGAGTATGTATGTGTATTTGCTGTGCACACACGCTTCACATTTATGTCTGTAGTCTTAAAATCCTGTCATTCCATTTATACCTCCAGTTTCAATCCATAGGGTTCATCCTAACCTTTTCCCTTTCCATATTTGTATCTCCCTTCACTTAGAGCAAGAACTCTGGGTTCTCTTGTCCTTAGTAAGGCAGAGTTGATCAGCCTTCACTATAGACCAAACCTCCAGGTGCCGTTTCCAAACCCTTATGTGTGGAGATGCCTGGCTTACCTGCTGGGCTCTCTCTCCCTCTCAGCCTCCCTCAACAGGTGCCCTCTGCACCTCGCTGGTGTTCCAGCATTCTGTGTGTTAGCCCTCTGTGTGTAGGAGCTTCTTACCTTGCTCGTCTCCCACTCCCAAGGAGGCTGCCGCCTGTGCGCTTCCACACGACAGGGCTAAAGACTGCATCTTTCAGGACGGAAAGAGGATATCTCTGGATTTCTTAAATTTTATTTTTTCCAGCTCTGGCGCACATTCATTTGTGCATTCCTTCATCCATCCATTCATAAATTTTAAAATGGACATTCTTTAAATCCCTTCAATTTGTGGTCCTGTATTTTCTCTCTCTCTAGGAAATTCAGTCACTGTTCCTGCAAGTATGTCTTTACTTACCTTCCTTCATTTTTTGTGTCCTTCTTTATATACTACTATGTGGATGTCGGTTTCCCTCATTTCTTTTTTCCATAGCTCTTGATTTTTCTTTTTATGTATTTTCTCTCTTCCAGATGTCTGTTGCAGGGTACCATAAGCCTGATATTTTTAGCTTATTAATTTACTCAGCTGTGTCCTTTCAGCTTTTCATCTATTAAGTTTATTGTTTCAATGATTGTATTTTTTGTATGTACTATTTTTATTTTCTCATAATGACAGTTTATTCCTGCTTTTATTTCTCATTCTCTCTTATTGAACATGTTTATTTTAATCTTTGCCTTTTTTTTCTCCTATGAACTCATATATCTTGGGGACATTAGCCTCTTTGGTCAGTGAGGATCTGCAGCACGGTGGGGGGACATCCTAGTTTGTACCTCTCCTGCTGGGTTTAGGGAATGAGGGAAAGGTTTTGTTGTGGGTGTGACATACAAGACATACCAAGGGTCAGAGCTCTTTATAATGTTATGGGTACAGCACTTATCCATGGACTGAGGGACTGAAGTAAGAGGGAAGAAGGTACCTGTGAATGTGTGGGCATAGGGACCACCCAGGGCCATCCATGCATGTTGTAAATGGCTCTGAATCTAGCTGGCTGCAGTGCGACCCTGCAGTACTCTGATGCCCCTTGACAGCTCTAGGCTTGGGGACAGTTTTCCTGCCTTGCAGCCCCATTTGCCTTTTAAAGACAATATCAGAGAGAAAAATATTCACCTTAACTTCCTGTTCTTGTTTCCAGCCCTTATATGCTCTGCCTGTATTTTTACCTCATGTTGGGACCCAGTTTCCCTTTGTTGTCCAGGTATTTCTGTATGTAAACAAATGAGTTGAAAAAAATTATCGTAGCTTACCATTTTAAAAAGAGCAGATTAATAAAAGTGATTACATATGGAGATAGTTTAGATTCAATAAAATACTGTATATTTGTCAAGCCTCCTCTCCCCAGTGCTGTACTAGGAACTGAAGACTGAGTTTAGGGCCTTCTCACTGAGCTGTATTCCCAGCCTTTTAAAATTATTTTTTGAAATATATCTCAACCCTATATATTTATTTTTATTTTTAAAATTTTGAGACAGTCTCGCTAAGTTGCCCAGGCTGGCCTTGAACTTGGGATCTTCCTGCCATAGTCTCCTGAGTATCCGGGATTGCAGGTGTGTGCTACCACACCCAGCTGCCTTTCCTCATTTTAAATGTAATCGTAAGTTAGTAATAAGGTACTGTGGTATGATTAGTATTCATTCTATGGAATACTTAACTCTGTTCCTCTTTGGGGATTTTAGGTTGTTTTTAGTTTTTAATTGCTGTGATAGTGAAATATGGAAATGTTTTTCTCCATTTGTAGGATCATTTTAAGGATGTATTTACAGACTGAATCAAATGGACAAGAGATGACATGGATTGGTATTTTAGATTGTTAACCATACGGAGGAACATGTAAAACAGATTAAGCATTCAAGTAGTACTTGCTAGATGAAAGAATATTGTTAAATTTCTTTCCAATATGGTTCTACCTGTTTTCATTCCCACTAATGCAAGACTTTTTCAGCAACATCTTATACTTAAAATACTTTGTATGTAATCAGAAAAATTCTTTATTTGTCTTGGAGAAAAAGACACTGATGGGTAAATGAGTATGTTTTTTCTTATAGGACTGAATTTGCTATTAAAGAAATCATGTCCTCTGGAGGTGCTGAAGATGACATCCCACAGGGAGAAAGAAAAACAGTTACAGATTTTTGTTATCTTCTGGATAAATCTAAGCAACTGTTCAATGGGTTAAGGTTAGTGGACTGTTCATTTAAACTTTTGTCTGGTTAAGCCATTTTTTTTCCAGGCTGATTTGTTGAAAGTTTCTAAAAGTCATGGATAGCTGGGCATGGTGGTACATGCCTATTATCATAGCATTTGGGAGGCTGAGGCAGGAGGATTGCTGTGAGTTTGAGGCCACACTGAAGTGGGCTACAAAGAGAGTTCAAGGCCAGCTTGAACTGCATCATGAAAACCTGTTTCAAAATGACAAAAAAATAAGTAAAAGTCATGTGTAGATGTTATATAAATTTCTATTAGAAGTTATGGTGATTTTTTTTTTCCTTTGACACTGTTTGTTCTTAGATGAACAGTAGGAAAGGAGAAAAACAGTTTTACTTAAGTTGGGAAGAGCTGTTTTGTTATATATATCTCATGGCATATCTAGGTTACATTTGATTTTATATGTTAGGATACTGAAGGAGGTCGAAGGAACCCAGGAATGCAAATGCAATTAATGGGGAGCTGCTTGTTGCAGTTTTGTACATTTGTTTACTTACTAGTTTCTTTTAATTCATCTTTCTCTTTTTAGTATAATACTTTTGCTGAATAAAATAATAATGGGATGCTCTAGACAGTGTTATTTTTACTTGAGTAGTGTGTGACATGGGAGCTCAGACCTTGTTTGTCAAAATGTGTTTTTGATTGTATATTGTGTGTGATGAGTAAATAATTTTGCACCCTTTTGTTTTACTTATGTGATTTAGCCTATTTTTCATGCAATAGGTAGAATACTAAGGGTGAGCAGATTTTATTACTGAATGTTTGTTTAATAGTGAATGATGGTAAAGATAGTTATTTTTATAGTTAACTGCATTCTTTCTCTTCTAAGTTTTGCAATTGTACTATGCACCCCTACGTTTGGAAATGTACTGGCAGAGTTTATTGTTAAGGCAGTTCATTTATTTTAAAAAATACTTCCAGTTTGAAAGCAAATCTAAGATTATTAGATGACTGACTCTTCTGTGACCACCCTTTCTATAGCTGCTCTTTCTTTCTCCTGTCCATACATTCATTTAATTCTGTTCATAGTGCTTATCACTCCTTCAGGTTATGTTACTTGCTTATTATGTCTCCCCTACAATAAAATGAAATGCCCCAGGAGCAGAACCTTGTCTGTCGCTGTGCCTCTGGCCCTTTAGCCCGCGTCATGCCCACTGTGGACACTTTGTAAATTTTGGTTAAATGAGTTCCACTGATAGTGTTCTTATGTCTTACTGCTGCTCCGCTGCTCTGATCAGTTTTGCTTTGCAGATTACTTTTAAAGAACTTTTTTTTATAGTTACAATTCAAAAGCTTTGCTTGGAGGCCTAGATTTTG